CAGGGACTTCAGTTGCCTGCCATGGGGCTTCAAACTTGGTTCATTTTACACTATTTTCAATGGAGCTTGAATTAGTTCAGTGCACCCCTGTAGGCTCTTGTATAGCGCCCTCTGTCGCCTTCCCGGCAGTACGTCGGGAAAACAGAGAAAGTCTACGTATTGCGGTCAGTCTTCAGAGATTGATTGACAATTTCTTCGAAAGGTGGTCAAGTTTTTAAAGGACAAAAATTCCAGTCACCCGCAGCTGGGATGTTCTCACGATTGCTTAAACTCTATGAAGGGACTATACTCCACCGGCCAAGAGAGGGCGCTGCGAAAGTTGTGTCAAGGGTCGGCTCGTTACATGCACAATGCATGTACATGTATAATTGTACATGTGGTTTGCTTGCATGAATTGGCGTTGATGTTTTGCCTTTTATGTTGATATTGTTTGCCCTCGTGTATATTGCCCAGAAACCTGTCTTTTTACAGGCTGGCTTGTGTGGACAGAATAGTTTGCTTGATTAGTTGCAGAAAGAAGGCTGGCTCTGCATTTCATCTTTACATCTGTTTTATTCCATCCAACAATATTTAGATTTATGATATTTACACAGTTCTATTATACTACCTTATTTTAAAAAACCTTTTTTAACTTCAAGGTACTTTTTAGTACACAGCATTACGCATCAACAATTTACTTTTATTATGTACTAAACTGACACACTTCACTAATTAATTGAAGTCATTTAATCGGTGATATTAAGACATTTGGGATCTCTGACTTTACATCAAAATTAGATCTTTGTTCAAAACTAAAATAAATATGTAAAGCAGCTTAGGAGAACTGCAAAAAGCTAACTTGTGAAAGATGGGACGGATGAAGTTTTCATTTGAGCTATCCAATAAATATCAAACATCACCAACACGGGCGAATACGTAGCCTCTGCAGGTGAGTGACTTACGGTCATGCGGCACAGCTGATTGAAATGATTTGCCAGAACCTTATATCTTAAATATCATGCCTCAATGACTTTGGGTAAAAAAATACTTGACACAAAATCTTGGGGTATCCATTTAGTTATAAGGCTTAGCCAACATATCAGAATTAATTTTACTCTGAGAGCACTTTTTAGAATAGTCTTGTGCTGATGTGGGCTGTCTGCACTCGAATGACGAGCGCCTTTCATAAATAAATAACTATGTAAAATAACAATTATCAGGAATATGTTGTCCTTGAGTGGGTTTCTATTTGTTAATTGCTGAAAAAACAGGTTCAATCATATACGAGATTTTCCATCTATAAAACTTTGTATGAAAATGTTACTTGACTGAAGTAGACGTCCCCGGGGGAGGCAAGGTGCCTTTTAAAAAATGCCGAAATAATTACATTAAGGTCATTAAATCTATACTTTCTGGGGGAAAAAAAGAAAGAAACTGAAATCTAATTGGATTGTATCCAAAATTATCATTTTCAGTCAGGTTTGATAAGACACCGTGAAATCTCAGGACTAAATTAGATCGATAAAATCTTTGGAAGCAAAATGTACTTGCTCAAAGTGAGGGATGGACACTATATACGGTTGGACCTACAACGCCACTATCCCCCCTCTCTCTCTCTCTCTCTCTCTCTCTTGAAAGAACTGGTTTTGAACTGATCCAGTTTTTAACATACATTTACATACAACTATCAACGAGATCAAATAAATCGAAATCCTTTTTAACTTCAGTGTCCACATCGCCCCTAAACTTCCCCTCGATTTTGGTAGCTAATTTCGGTAGTTCTATCCTCATGCCTCAACCACTATCTGAACAAAGAGAATCAACGACACCGTGATCTTGTACTGTATTTCCTTGCAATGGAAGTACTATATTTAAGTATTTTTTTCTGAACAAAGACCAGAAATTCTGACGTATTTGAATACTTAACGGCTGAACGGATACGAGAGCGGGGTAAAAGCAGAGGCACAGCCGTCCACTGGAGAGGGCGACAGCGCGGGATGTCCCATGGTGATCAGCGAGGACGGGCCGGTGGCGGGTGCCGGAGAGCTGCAGGGCTTCATCAGGGTTCCGTTCGGTGAGGACGGAGCGTCCTTGCTGGCCGCCTCTTTGTCGCGTCGTTCCCGAGCCCTTCGGTTCTGAAACCAGATTTTGACCTGAAAATGGACCGCGAAAACAAGAGAAACAAGAAAAGGGAGAGTTATTAAAGCCATGGAGAGCCAGGTTGCAAAATGTAAACAGGGACACTACCGTTGCGATAACACGAATTAACAGAGGGAAAGTGGCTTACAGCTTTAAAGATATAATTGCAATGACAAATGCACAATTCGACGACATTAGTTTTACGACTAGAAGAGTATAAGATTCGCGATTGAGATAAGTTTCAAAGTTGTTTCTGTTTGGTTTTATATCAGGTCTACTGGTGAAACTGTACAGTGGGTACATAAGTCTGCTGCTTGTATGGACAATTGACATGGAAGAAAAAAGCAGTAAAAATGTCACTGCACTCCACCCAAAATATGTCACCACCTGACACAATGTTTTAAGACTGCAGGGAGATCAGGTCTTGATATACACACCATGGCTTTGGCCAAGAGTCACAGATACTTTGAAAAAAGTGCAAGTGCTGTCTAGTTTTCCGGGAGTTCCTTTTTGATGTTTCCCTTCCAACATTCCGAGGAGTGCCTTGACTCTATTATTTGAAACCAACATGGTATTGTGGGCGCCGTGCATCGCCGGTAAACGAACTTGTTGTTTAAGGGTTATCACTTGCGTGGTAAGTAGGCCTAATAGTAGCACGTTACAACCCCATGACCGCGCCATTTTACAACTATGTCGCAGAGTAACAAACCAGAACACCGGAGCGCGGTGTAATGTGTCGTCCCAAGTTTGTCTTTCAGAGTTGAGCAGCCCCCGTACACAGATCGACTAACCCTCCTCGTGCCATACGGATCGTGTCCACGCTCTATTACGATGTTTCCCACACCGTGACGGCTAGGGTTAAGTGGCCTGCTCGGGCCCTGGCCCCTGCGGACGACACCGGCGCGTCGCCCCTACTAGCCTCGGCGACGCATTGCCTCCGCACCGTTAACTTGTTTATGACATGTGAAGTCATGTGAGAGGGTGTCCCCTTAGCAAACCACATCGGTCTGTTTGCCGTAAACCACTACGGACTGATGAGTTCGCAGAAAGTGCATTCTGCTTTTTAGCGATTAAACGTAATTCAAATGGTATAATCATGGTCTTTGACATTACTGGCAAAGAATAAAATTTGAGTTGTGGCCTTGAGACTATAGTAATTATCTCAATGCCATGGTGGGAGTTCGCTTCTCTCACTAAATCATTGGGAGTTTTTCCTTCAGTAAGACACCGATGCGTGTTTGAATTTTGTTGTTTCGAAAATAGAAAAAGGTAATTCTACAAAAAATGAAGACTGTCAGTAATATCACCGCTAATGTCACGATTGGGAAACCTCAGAAAATTACATCAATACAAAGTGTTTGGCACGGGACATTTTCCCACTGAAATCCCAAGCGGCTCAATTTATGAGACGAGCATTCGGTAACTTAACCTCATTTAGTTTATAATCACCCAAGAACATATCATTATCGCTGTGTGCTTTGGCTCTGGAGGCGTTCATTAGTTTTGTCTCCACGTTTATAGTGACTTTATACGGGGCCTTTGTTCCGCTTTTTAATGAGCTAATTTCAGATGCACGTCCAATCAGAGGCTGGAACACACCGATAATGACAGCTAGACTGTGAGACAGATATTGATTTTGCATGGGACAAGCACTGTAATCAGGAGTTTCTAGTCATTCAAAACTTATTTACGTCCTTCGCGTATTATGCAAAAGAATGTGGCGAAGCCTCTGTCCCAATAGTTTCCCAAAATGAAGCAAGACCCTCGCTTCACATTTTTTTTTTACTTACACGACGGCGCAAGCCGTGCTGGTTGAAGCGATGCCACCGTTTACTGGGCCCTTTCCCCGGGGCCGATTTTGACTTTATACGGTGCTTTTTTGTGGCGGGGGT